ATCGAATTTTCGACCCTTGCCGCGAAATTAAGAATTTGTCTGATTTTTACAGGCAGGCACTCTTAAGTACTAACGGTGCCGCGATTTAAACTTTAAGATCAGCTTTTTATGTCAATAAAAAGCTTATGTGTTTGTTTACGCACAGATGATGTAACAAAAAAATGATCATGTCAGGCCATGATTTGCAAAAAATTAAAATGAAGTGCCCTCACCTCCCCCTCCCGAATAAGTGCTCCCCTCGAATAAGTGGCCCCCGTCTTCTCCTAAATTTGAAATAAGCTCCCTGGGCACTAATTCAAGGATTTATGGTAGTTCTTTATGGCTTCATTCATACATGCGCTTATAGAATGGGAGATATACATAGTTCTTATGGCTTCATTTGTGCACAAGCTAATTAGTAGAATGAATTACACATAGTTGTTACGATGTTACTCGTGCACACACCTATAGAATGAGAGATACACAAAGTTCTACTTTGTCTCGCAGCATGAAAACCTAATGATAATATCCAAATACATCTTAGAAATATAAAGATACTGGGCGATATCGAAATATCAGGATAATATATATCAAAATATCAAAAATATGATCATAATTTTAAATTATATGGTATCATGATAATTATCAAGATACCACAGTGTTATCAAAATATCAGGATAATATCAAAATAGTATGATATCAAAATGTGACATGTTCCGATGATATAAAAAAATCAAAATATCAAGGTAATATCATACTGTATCAAGATATCAAATATCTTATGGTATTTTGATATTCTGCAATTCCGCACCTTTAAGTGCCCTTGTTGCTGCCATATATATACACGTGCATTTACATGTTTACAACTATGTACTGCTGGCGAAGTAAGCTGCTCGGGGAAATCCCTGAGTCAGTTGCTTCAGTTTGCTGGGAACTTTACAGCAAACCAACAGACTTGCACAAGTGAGGAATTGAATGGACATAAAGGTAATCTCACGTCTTACTACAGCTGTAGTTAGACTCAGTGTTTGATGATTCTAATGAGACTCAACCCATTCACTTAAACTTTTGGTGTCTTGATTTTGAAGATCTGAAGAGAATCGTCATCTCTGGTTCATCTAAAAGAGGTAAGAAGAACATTCAGCTGCATCTTTTAGCTGAATATCTACGTAGCTCAGTTGCTTCTGGGTCCACATTAAATTTCACCTATTAAGCTATCAGGAAAAATTTGACTTATTAGTTATGTTACAGTTTGATTTCTAACAAGTTGCTTTATGGATATACCATTTTTTGTGGTGATAAATCTCTTAATAATTATTCTTGGCTTAATTAATTTATGTGGTATTACATGTATGAGGTTTTCTAATTGACCAATCATGTCCGATTCTGTGTTGTGTTTAGCGCCTGTACATTTGAAACAGGAAGACAGAAGAGTTGTTGAGAGTCACTGTTACCTGTAGAAATTAATCCATATTGCAAGAGAAATGATCTAAAATAAACTGTACTAACAGATATGGCAAATTGTCTGGTGTCAAATTGTACAGGTCCAAATTTAACTTAATATAGTGGAAACCACACAGACCTGTGACCTCTAGCTGATCACCATTGTCAAATTAAACTACTGGTTTGAAGTCAATAATATTATTCTTCACCTGGTTTGAATAGATGAATCTCCATAAAATGTTTCATTTCCCATCATCCTCTCTCTTTTAGAAGTCAGGCTGTGAGTCATGAGTTAAACAAATATATGAAACAAAAGCAGACAAAAGAAATATTTGACAAATTAACAATAAACAATTCCAAGTGAGTCGCTAACTGCATGTGTATATTCCCTGTGGCCGCCATTTTGCAGTAGAGCCACAATCAATCAAAAAGGTGTATCAAGATGCCATTGTGAGGGCTGCCCTGGACGGAGTCACTTGAATTGAAGATGTTTTAGTTACTTAAAGTGACACAATATTTTGTCCAGTTTTTCAACCTTCCAACTGTTTCAACCAAATTCAGAACCCAAAAAGCTCAAAGTATAATTAGCTCACAATGCTCACAATGAGATTCGTTGTTAATGAGACTAATTCTATCCCAGGAAACAACAAGATTATACCAATAGGACTTTGATGGCCTTGGGATCCATCAGCATCAAGATACACAACAATGTACTGGTAATGTTTAATAAATTATAAGATCCTATTTGAACTTTAATTATACAATGTAACGTCCACAGTTATGTAGTAGTGAACCTGTGAATTGCCTAAGCAAGTTATCCAGGTAATGTAGTGGTGGATCAGATGAAGCAAATTAGGGCTGGTCGATCATCACTGGTTAATTAACCTTTTCTGCAATTACAATTCCTGGAATTTGCATGACTTGTACATGTATATATCATTTGGCATCTCCAGGACAATGTCTTATGTAACTGTGAGTGTTACACTTTTTAAAATGAACCTGTTAGTGATCAAATAACTCAAATTAAATGGTTGTAATATTAGGAGAACAACCAAAAACAATTGTTATAATATTTTATTGTCATGAAGCTTTCATTAATGTGTTACATGTATCCAGAAAGATAAAGTTCTTGACAAGTGTCATCAGGGCTCCTCAACCTTCAGCTTTGGCTGATAACCCTTATGTTTATTTGAGATATCACTAAGAGCCTCGTCCAATAATTGTTCTTCATGTATATAATTATTCTGCACACATGTGTATATTCCTACAAAAGTCAGTGGGTACAGGTGCTCTAAAGGAGGGTCTCATTGTCCTTCTTACTTTAAAAGGGAGGCCTGGGGCAGTTTTTCAAAGGTCCCAAAAAGTTTTCGCACCCGAAAAGCCATAGCAAAATCTCAAAACCTTTTGACTACAGAGTTGTTTTATTCATATATTCTTAATAGGAACAGACAATCTCATCATACAGGATATTTCAGGTGTGTACACCTCGCTGTCTTTAAATACCGATTATTTAAAAATGGCTTTTCGGGCCTGAAAAGATTCCAGGGTTTTCGAGAAACAGGCCCCTGGGTTTGGACCTGAAGAGCAAGTTCAGTACTTTCTTTCTGATCCTCAGGTTTTTGCATCGGGTCCAATCTCATTGTTTCTTCTTTTAGACCTGACCTACCTTAGTGCTCTAGACTAAACCCATTTAAAATCTGCATCCTAAACCTTCGGCTTTTGGGCATAAACCAAACATTTATGAACTTTAACACCATGATTGATACAGTGACAATCCTGAAGTATCAAATTTCAGGACCACCTATCATAGAGGTCATGCTGATGGGACACTCATTATCAAGGGCGAGGTTTGTAAAACTCTTAAGTTTTTTCTTTTTTTATACACTCACTGTTTCATACATTTTGGATATACCACCAGCATTCTTTTGGTTTTAATTTAACCACCTTAGAATAATGCCCTACCCTCCCTCAAATACTTAAAATAATCCCTTGAAATAACTTCCCCTCTTCCTCTGCGGCAATAGATGAGGTTGGGGGTTGGTGCCTTTAAGGATGGTGAGGTCATATGTGTTGGATCCAAGTGCCAAGGTATCCAGGGTTGTAACTAAGAAGATAGTCTCCTGGCTAAGATGTTCGTTGTGGCAGTCAGCATTTTTCGTGAGAGACCTGGAAGTTAATGAAGGGGAATCCCAGTCAATATTAAGTTTCTAAACAGCAGAGGCACACGCAAGGGCCAGCACAGCTGAACTCTATTAGGCACAGCGTAACAAAGACAGGCCCAGCCCAACACGGACAGGCACAGCCGATTCTGCGGAAGACTGGTAACCAAACATCTCACAGTCATGTGTGTGTCTTGAAAGATGGCGGCAAAATTTGAGGTATTAGGCAGGTAAGACCAAGATTGAAGACATGAAGACAAACTACCTTAACATTCTGGCCAGGTGATAAGAGCTGTTTTTTCAGTGATTTATTCAGTAATTTATTCAGTGATTTATTCAGTATGTGATTTATTTATTCAGTATGAGCTAGCGTTTTAATAAGAGATCCTGTTTTGCAATTGTTCAGTGATTTATTGAGTATTTTGCTGAACAATGCTGTTTTAAGGATGCTTAAATTCTTTCGTATATGTTATTTGCCGGCTGGGAGGTCTGTATAGTGAAAAACTGTGATTGAGGCCTTGATAATACTGCATTTTCAAGCCCCTGAGGTCACAGCTTTTCACTTTACGGACTGACCCTAAGCCGACAAATAACATGTTTATTTTTTTTCCTGCAGTAAATTGGTTTTAATTACAGATGGGTTTGTTTATGCAACTTTGTCATTGAATTGGCTTGTGCACCGTCTACTAACGATTTGTAACAATTTTTTGCAATGAGTGAGTAGCCGAGATAGTAGACAAAGATAAATGTTTTAAAGAACAGATTTATTTCATACTACTTTATGTTAGTTGTGTTATTTCACCTTGTACATGTAAGTTCTCCAAAATTGTTTTTCGGGTGTGAAATTTCGTGCAAAGTTTGAATGTTCTGTGTGTGTGGTCAAGAACCATTTCCATCCTATCCTAATTAAACAGGGGCAAAGACCATATGTATAAAGCTTAGCTTTAATAGTTAATATATAACGGAACAAAAGAATGTGCTTTTTAAAGCATCCCTAAGACAGTATTGGTCAGCAAATTCACGCTGAATGAATCACTGATCAATTTTGAAAAAACCGCTCATATTGCCTGGCCTGAATGCTAAGGTAGTTTGCTTTCATGTCTTCATTCTTGGTCTTACCTGTTTTACCTCAAATCTTGCAGCCATCTTTTGAGACAAATACAGGACTGTGAGATGTTTGGTTACCAGTCTTAACACAGAATGGGCTGTGCCTGTCTTTTTTATGCTGTGCCTGTCTGTGTTGGGCTGTGGCTGCCTTTGTTACACTGTGCCTGTGCGTGTTGGCATCTGCCTGTCTTTGTTACACTGTGCCTCAGTGTCTGTGTTGGGTTGTGCTTGTCTTTGTTATACGGTGCCTGTATGTGTTAGGCTGTGCTTGTCTTTGTTACGTTGTGCCTGTCTTTGTTGCGCTGTGCCTAATATAGTTCAGCTGTGCTGGCCCTTCCATGTGCCTCTGCTGTTTAGAAACCAAATATTGACCCTGATTCCCCTTTATATGGAACAATATTTTCGTCTCCATTCTTTTGGAATGCCTCAAATTTGGGGCTACCATTTCAGAGTGGAAAAATGTACTGCGCAGCTTTCTGTGCATCCCTAGCCCTGCTTGTGGGCTCAGATAATAATGCAGGCTGCAATGGTAGAAAGAATGGCAGGCTGCTGATTAGGTAGTCGGGAGGATGTTGTTCTGTTAATTTATTTACACTGGGCAAGCATGAATTTTTTTCCATCATTTCACCGTTAAAAAAACAAGGCTCCCCCTACCAGCTGAGAGGCTCTCTTGCTTATATATTCAGTGGAATGCTTATATGGATGCAATATGTAAAGAGGGTTTGTGGAAAAAAGCATCTCTTCACACCGAAATTTCTTGACTGTATACCTCAGGGAAATGAGGGGTTTGGAAACCTTCTTTACGTTAATTTTGTCTGAAAAAAATTGATTCTCTACGGAAACAATACACCAGCTTTCCATTAGTGACGTCAAAGTGTTGCTGCTTACCGGGAAAATTGAGAAAGCATATAAAGTTCATAACACTTTTATTTAGATGATTGATGAAATTCCCGCCATTTTTTCAAACTTGTAGCCTGGTGCACAGCCAAAACTGTTTTTCTGCTCTGAAGGGCTACCAAACTTCGTGTTTACAAAATGTCAGACACAGTACATGGAAGGGGAAAACGCTAACAAGTGTTCAAAACAAGGTTTTATTTCAATTTCTGTACTTGTTATAGTGGCACTGATACTCAAAGTAGTCAGGAATTTATGTCAAACCTTTCATTTAGATGGCTCAATACGGTTCAGATATCGAATATATTGTGTGTGTGTATAACCTAAAAACTGGGTGTTGTCCTTTACCGAGGGGTCGCCCACCAAAATGCTGCCGGCAATCACCTCTTTCTCAGCCAGTGAATTTCGCAGGCAGCCAGCAGTTAGCGACAACCCTGGGTATCCATGGCAACCCTATGAGCAGCAACCACAATCCAGCACTGCCACAGTGAACAAGGCAAATTGATCAGCAACAAGATATTGTTTACCTGAGAGGGAGGGAAGGGGATGGCAGAAACAGCAAGAAGGTTTAAGCTTCACAAATACTCACATGTATGCAGAATTGTACAATGACTCTTAGAAACCTGAGCCCTGCATAGCCTTAGCCGGACTAAAATTCGTACTGAGGCAATATCATTATTAGAAAAACATGCTTTGTTAATATTGATTATTTTTTAATGTATGGCCTTGGGAATTGGGAACAAACTGAAACAAAATTCAATATGTCTACCAACTGAAGGGAAGTGCCTCAGTTCACCTGTTACTTATAGCTACAGCCCTGCCTTGTTAAGACTTGATGGGCTGCCCTGCAGTAAATGTGAGTCCTCAGATGGAGACTGCTGGCCAGCATTGTCTTGATTTTAACTTCACCTAAACTGCATGGAGCCACATCAATTTCAGAAATCTCCATATGATATTATTTTTGTGCACTAGGCAATGAATGGACTCTAATGCAGGACAGTTTTCTTTGTCCATCTGTCTGTCTGTCCATCCATCGCTCCTTCCCTCCCTCTCCCTCCCTGCATTTTAGAGATGCATGCATGCAAGGATTAAAATTGGTCACTCAAATGACAAATATTACTACACGACCAAGTGCAAATTATTGCAACAAAACGTTTTGCAAAATGTGACCAACACATCTAAAAACAGGAACAATTTCTGTCTGTAAGAGTAAGTTCTATAAAACTTAATACAAGTTTTTCATTACATTTACCGCAGGTATTTCATTGCTATGTAGGGGATTTAAAACTGTTAACTGAGCTCAGGCTTGGACGATTTAATCGTGTTTACCGGATGGTACATGAACCCACAGGCCACATTATGGCAGTTAAGGTACATCACAAACGAGTGTGGATAATATAGACTTTATGCTGCTTTTTTGTCAGTCTTGAGAAAGCAAGAGAGTTTAAACATTTTATTGTTTACTCTTCAATCAGATTGCCGATCTTTCCTCCGAGAATCTACAGAAGATGCTTGTAAAGTTTTTGAATGGCCCTATAGTGTACAGCCCACACATCGTGCCTATTTATGGTGCCATCATGCCTGAAGAGGTCTGTTAACTTCCTGTAATGTTTTTAGAAACTCCTGACTTTTCCGTAGCTTAAAAAGCCTACAATTCCACCTAGAACTCAACATTTTGCCTCAAAATGTACTTTTGAGTGTCCCTCAGGGTTCCCTTTCAGAACAGAAGACTAAGTTTACATGTTGTAATATTTTTGGAAATTTTTTTTAAAAGGAAAACTAGTGGAAATCCAAGGAAATTTGGGAATTTTAGTCTAGAAAATAAGAGTCTGCTTAGAATTAATGACTTTGTTTGAAGGTGCTTAAATGTCAGGAAATATTTCAAAGCTCTTTAATTTGTCCTTATACTGCAAATTAAGTTTGAACAGATTCTAGTCTGATGTGCAGTTTACAAGAGTAGGACAACACTGTGAATTTCCCAATGCGGGTCCCTGAGGATCTGCTTGGTATGCCTTACCACTTTTTGATTCATATATCAGGGAAAAGTTTGGATCTGTATGGAGCCAATGAGAGTATCATTAGAAGAATTGCGCAGAAGAGTATATGCCACACCTGGCAGAAGGATGCCTGAGCAGGTCATACGAGAAATAGCCATTGCTGTAAGTTATGCAAACTTTTGTACCACTGACATGATTTTAATACCTTTTTGCATCAGGTGATTATATGTATTCCTTACAAAATTGTAACTATAGAAGGGACATTCAGGCTGACTCTAGCTTGCAAACTTTGCTGAAAATAAGGTTAACCGTGTGTCGATGCGAGTGTGAGCACAAGCCAGGAGCGCAAGCAAGGAGATATTCCAATATTTATTTCGAATTTGGTAGACTTTTATAAAATGCATGTTTCCAACTAACCCATGGCAGATTAATGGATAATATTAATCTGGAGAGGTTCTTCAACCAAAAAAAAAGCTTCCAATTAGGATATGGATATTTTGTGAAACATCACTGTCGGAATCCTGATGTTTTTTCACTAGCAATCTTAAAGTGATTTTCTTAAATTGGAATACTTAGATTATGTCTTCCAACTTGTGCCAGGCCTACATTTTACCCTCCAGGCAGAAAGAATATATTTTGATAACAAACCTGTTGTCTTTCTTGTCTTGTCTTGAGGTGGCACGTGTCAGTCATATTAAACCAAAGTGTCATCACTTCTTGAGGCGTAAACGCCTTCCAACATTCGTACGTGCACAAATGTCCACTCCTCCATTTTATTTCATTCTTTTACTGGATACCAGTGCACACATGACCCAAAATAATTTATTTTATATGGTGCTAAAATAGAAGATGAAGATCCTGAACAATAAATTATGACAGAAAATCCTTGAGAAGAGAATTATGTCTTTTCTCCTGAGTATATTGTCTTAATTTGTTTCGTTTTTCACATGTTTATTACATAAATGCTAATTACCACCTTCTAGTATTTAAATCGTGCACCTTGTATGTCTCTTTGAGTCTGAAGATGGTATAGAATAATATCGAATATAACATGATCGCTAATTTTCCTTGCATCTGTTGTCTGTATATATTTTTACCACAATTGTTGCTAATCTCGCAATCTGATTGGCTAATTTGCCGTTGTCGATAAGAGTCCAGACCATGCCGCTCGCGTCAATGTGTCGCGCAATGCCTTTTTCAGCTCGCGCTCTGAAAAAAAACTTTGTCTTTGACGTTGATATTGTGGTAAAAAACAAATCGAAATGTGGTTTAGCGTGGTCTGTACTCTTATCGACAACGATACTTGTCATCACAATGGTCAAAATTTGTTGTGGACTCACTCGGCTGCGCCTCGAAAGTCCACAACATTTTGACCATCGTGATGACGCGTATCGTTGTCGATAAGAGTACAGACTACGCTAAACCACATTCGATTTGTTAAGTATAGAATAACCCATTGGCAAGTTATTGTCGCATTTTGATTGGTTCTCGCCCGTGATCTATTAGAGGACAGACACACGATTGATGTCATCATTACAAAGTTTTTCCCTCTGTGTTTTAAAATGGCGGAAAGTTTTGAGAATTAAGACAATATTTTACTTGACTGCGCAAAAGATAAGGTACAAAAAGTCTTATCGAGGCATTGAACAGGTATGAGAAGCAGAAAGGAGAAAGAAAAAGCCGTTTCTGTTTCAGAAAATGACTCAGGAAATATACTCGAGCAGTCTCAGTTGGCAGTCGAGCGAGACTAAACCAAACACGAAACTGGTCTTGAAATTACTTTAAGGTAAGAAATCATTACTTTGTCTCGAATTTAACAAACCCAATAAACAAAATGCTTGTGCCATTAATTTATTTATAGTAGTAAATTCAACTTTTCTCAGTCTCAAAAATAATTGTTGACACAGATTGATGTCAGGTATAAAACATCAAATTAACAAATTGACGTCAGTTTTTTATGCGTCTGTCCTCTTATTGATGATAAATTGCATAATAGCATTGTCAAAGTGGCTGTGGAACCACGAGCCGCAGGCGACAATGTCATGATGCAATTTATCATCAATAAGAGGACAGACGCATAAAAAACTGACATCAATTTGTTTTTTACAATAACAAGACTCCAAAATGGTCAAATGCCGGGAATAAATGAGGGGAAAAGACGCCGTAAACCTGCCGTAAACAAAGATAAGTGAATTTTATTCAAAATGATGCAAACATTGTCAATAGCTTTTCTCGCTTTTTAATTGGCTGCTTAAAAAAAATCCATAAGATCTCATTGGTTAAAAAGTTGACAGTTTGACAGCTGAAAGTTGAATTTGAAAGCTTGCGCAAATTAAAATTTTATCCGTCTGTTTAACAAATAGATTCCATGTTGCCGTGCGTCTGTTCAGTAATAGATCACAGATGACGTCAAAATGTGGTAAGAACAAAAAAGTGGCACACGAG